GCCGCGAGTTATGTGCAGCAAGAAATTCTGTGTGGCTGGCCCCAAACTTGCGACATATGCACATCGCGCAGCGCTTTGCAGCGACTTCGGGCGGCTATTCTTTAGCTGTCTTGCTGCACAAAATTCAGAATTGAACGCCAACGAGTACTTTACCACCCTAATTGATGAAATTTTACCAGTTGCGAGTTTTGTGCAGCAAGAAATTCCGTGTGGCTGGCCCCGAACTTGCGACATTTGCACATCACAGAGCACGATCCAGCAACATTCACTTATTTTGCAGCGCGATCCAGCGACTTTGAGAGGCCATTCCTCAGCTGTGTTGCTGCACAAAATTCCGAATTGAACGCCAACGAGTACTTTACGACCCAAATTGATGAAAATTTACCAGCCGCGAGTTATGTGCAGCAAGAAATTCTGTGTGGCTGGCCCCAAACTTGCGACATATGCACATCGCGCAGCGCGTTGCAGCGACTTCGGGCGGCTATTCTTTAGCTGTCTTGCTGCACAAAATTCCGAATTGAACGCCAACGAGTACTTTGCTACCCAAATTGATGAAACTTTACCATCCCCGAGTTTTGTGCAGCAAGAAATTCTGTGTGGCTGGCCCCGAACCTGCGATATATGCACATCACGCAGCACGATTCGGTGACTTTGGGCGCCTATTCCTCAGCCGTCTTGCTGCACAATATTCCGCATTGAACGCCAACGAGTACTTTACCAACCAAATTGATGAAAATTTACCAGCCGCGAGTTTTGTGCAGCAAGAAATTCCGTGTGGCTGGACCCGAACTTGCGACATTTGCACATCACGAAGCACGATCCAGCGACATTCACTTATTTTGCAGCGCGATCCAGTGACTTTGAGCGGCTATTCCCCAGCTGTGTTGCTGCACAAAATTCCGAATTAAACGCCAACGAGTACTGTACCACCCAAATATATGAAAATTAACCAGCCGCGAGTTTTTTGCAGCAAGAAATTCCGTTTGGCTGGCCCCGAACTTGCGACATTTGCACATCACAGAGCACGATCCTTGCTGAGGGGGAATCCACAGACCTCGGACCGAGGGGCAAACAACTCGAATTTTGGTGTACATTTTCCTTGAAATAACGTGAAATAACGTGAAATAATGTGAAATAACGCGAAATAACGTTGAAATGACAATGAAATAACGTGAACGTGAAATAACGGTGTACAAATATTGACGAAGCTGTTTGTCCCTCGCCTCGGACAGTAGGGGTTCTTGGGAACCCCTTAAAATTTTCAGAGCTATTTCTTAGGCTTTCTTGACGAAAATGCAATTGCATCACTGTAAAAATTTTTTTTAGTCAAATTCCTATACATGTATATGAAGCTATTTACATATACACGTATAGGAATTTTACCATGCACTCGTATGGTAATTTTCCTATACATCAGTACGGGATTATAACTATGACGTGTATAGGCGTTCTCCCATCCGTTGTAAATGAATTTTCCTATACATCGGAATGGCGTAACTGCAATGCATGTATGGGATTTCCACCACAATATCCAAATTAGACGGCTGAACCGGATGAACTGTCAGATATTTAATACAACGGCCGAACTTTACGCCGTAATAGATCGTCGAGCATGGATCACTACTGATCCTTCATCACGGTCTTCCAAATTGGCAAAGTTCGACTCTACCTAAAGGACACCCAAGGTGAAAGTACTATCACCTCAGTAAAAATGATGTAAGAGTTGAAAGGACTTCAACTTTCTTACAACGTGTAGGGTTGCGAGCCCCCTGACCTAACCAAATTCCTAGCCGCAGCGTGCACCGAGAAGTAAGTCCGTCGAAACGACACTAGCGCCATCTAGCGGATAATCCGGACAGTGGGCGAACAAGCAGCTTTTGTGAATTGTGTACGTTTTTAACAAATAATCGCACTGATTACGAGTGTTCAGACAAAATACAATAATATGAATCGCTGGTCATGAGGTTGATAGCAAATTCCTTTTTTTCAGTTGGCCATATTCCTATACAGGGCTGCAAAATTCCTATACATGCAAAGGAATTACTCAAATTCCGATACATGTACAGGAATATTCCTATACATTTTCAGCCCGAATAGCAAAAAACCCATACAAATCGGAATATTCCTATACATGTATCGGAATTTGAGTAATTCCCATACATGTATAGGAATTTTCCTAGACCACTGTATGGTAAAATTCCGAACATTTTTTACAGTGATCATTGTCGGTTAAGCGGTCGTCGGGGCTCAACTTACTGAGTCCCGGACTTCTCAACCGGCTGGGTGTAGCACAATAGGGCAAGGGGAAACTACTTTGAATTTTGGTGTACATGGCCGTGAATTTCATGGGCGCGCAGCAGCAGCGTTGATCGTGCGTTTGTGCGCAAGCACGCTCACGGTGCTAACGAGCACACCCGTGACGTCAGCCCACCACTTATTGACAAAATACAATGTTTCGGTGAAAAGTAACATTTTTAGAGGCCTCGCGTTTGCGTTTGCGCAAGTTTGCGCAGCTTTTCTCGAATGATCCTTTATCAAGACATGCCTCACGTCAATTTCTAGTGTACAGACCTGCTTGATTGGGGTTGATTCGGTAGTAGATCTCAAACTTTATAGTTTTTTACTGATAATTTACGTTATTTGTGGTTAAAAAGGGCGCCGTTCATCCAATTTTGGTTAGAAAAGAAAAACATTAGTGCCATTTGAAAGGGCAGACCTTAAGCTTCAAGAGGAACCCAGCGGAAGTTTGAAACTAGCACTCCAATCGCTCACAAAGTATAAATATATAACAGCTTATTTTTCGCATCAATTTGGAACTTTTACCGAAGGTTGAACTTTGACGGCATGTAGCGGTCAAAGTATTTGTCGCACGTCAATTCCGAGACCAGATTTGGAATCTGCGGAAAATTTCCTATCAAATACATTAGAAATCGGCCCATTTGGACGACTCTCGAAAAGTTATTTTTAAGCGGCTAGAATGCGATTCCAGCCCACTGTGCCCCCCTTCCCCTCACAACCACACGGTCTCCGCGAGGGCTCTCCTAACGTTTTCCTACGCTGAAATCATGCATCCCATCGTAAATTAACGAAAATTCATTGAAATTCATTGAATTTTAGTGAGTTTTAATGAATTTCAGTGAACTTTGACACATTTTGATGAATTTTGTACACTTTTTGAATTTTTGCACTGCAATGAATTTTATGAATTTCAGTGAATTTTTAAGAATTTCGATAAATTTCAAAGAATTTTGTTGAATTTTTTAATTTTATGAATTTCACTGAATTTTTTGAATTTTGTTGAATTTTTTTTGAATTTGCATTAGGTGTACACATTTTTTCGAAGTAGTTTCCCCTTGCAATAGGGTAGAGCGAATAGTAGGTGCGGGTGGCGAAGGAAGGACACCGAATTTCAACACTAAATCAGAGCCGAACCGCCGAGCACTCACTCGGTAGCGCGTGGTCGCGTGAGGACGTCTCGAATCAATCTGACGCTCTCGGACGCGGCGTCTTGCGGCCCGAAGGGCCGGCCTCAGTCCGCGAATGCAACCGGACGCTGCATTCGCGCATCGCCTTTCCCTGGCCGCCAGTGAGCGACCGTTTTAACCAGCCCGCGTCCCTGACATCCCCCCCCCCTCCCCCTAAGGAGAGGTTCTACTGAAAGTATTGCATTTTTCAAATTGAGTCCCAGTGTAAAAATGTGTTGCAGATGTATAGTACTCCATAGTTTACAGTCAAACATGAAATATAGAGCCCAATCCTCCCTCCAAATCCAGTCGAAGAAGTTTTTTCAGCCTATTTTAGGAATATCTTAGAAAATTCTCCTACGCCAAGAATTTCAACGTAAACTGATGATCTGGAAATTTTTCACTTCTTAGGCTCATATGCAATTAAGCGTGGCATCACCAAGACAACAAATTAATTTTGACGTTGCTTTTCAGAAAAAAGACACTAGGGCGATTCCATGCCAAACCAACGAACTCTTGGATATTCATCTCTTCGATTTTGATGAAACTTTTTTTGGTGGAAGGGGTCATTATGAAAAGATCCCATGTCAAAGGGTTTTGCGATATCTCACCTCGTTTGGCTGTAATACCTTAGCAAAGTTTTCTCTTTGGTCAAAATCATGATCGTGATCGTTCAAGTCGGAATTTTGTGCAGCAAGACGGCTAAGAAATAGCCGCTCAAAGTCGGCGGACTGTGCTGCAATAAAAATGAATGTCGCTGGATAGTGCTTCGTGATGAGCATATGTCGCAGGTTCGGGGCCAGCTACACGGAATTTCTTGCTGCGAAAAACTCAGGGCTGGTAAAATTTCACTAATTTGGGTACGAAATTATTCGTTAGCGTTCAATTTGGAATTTTGTGCAGCAAAACGGCCGAGAAAAAGCCGCCCAAAGTCACTGCATCGCGCTGCGTGATGTGCATATGTCGCAAGTTTGGGGCCAGCCACACAGAATTTCTTGCTGCACAAAACTCGGGGATGGTAAAATGTTA